TTTACCGCGATTTGCGTCGTATGGTTTATGCTGTGTTATTCAATTACCACCATCATCAATACACTTCCATTCAGCGGAAACGGGAAAAAGAGGCCTTGAAAAAGGAAGGTGACGGAAAACGCAGTAATACACCCGGTGAGCAAAAATTGGTGACAGCTAAAATATCTGCATGTTTTTTTTTTGTGATTGAGCCATTTAGAGTCAAGCATTTATTTTATCCCATCATTTTTTCTTGGCACATTTTATGGTGCTAACTCAAGGTTATTTTATGAGGACAAGGTTTAGTTCAGGGTTTCTACTGTAGGCAAAGTAAGCTTCTTTGCAAAAGTGTTGGCAACTGAGTCTTATATGAGAGAAAACGGCAAGAAATAATCTGAATCTTAGGTGGACTGTGTTTCAATGTACTGTATTTGATGAGGTAGGACTTTTTTTTTATTGTGTTCAATTTAGGAGAAGAGCTGTTTCTCAATGTTTTGTTCATGTTCATATCATGTGCCAACATGCAGAATTCACCAATGTTTCTAGGGAAGCTCCCTAAATATTTTTTTTTTCATTTTGGCCCATTATCAGTCCATGATATTAAATTTTTTGTGGCACTGAATCAGGGTTTCCTTTGAGAACAGTATGGAAGGAGATTTGTTCCAGGGAGATTTGTGGCTCTAAATCAAGCGTTGACTCTGCTGTCAGAATATGTTAGATTTTTATGAAAATTTTGTATTGAGAGAGCAGAGCTTTTCTCCATGAGTTTGACTTTTTGGTGTTAACATGCAGGAATCCCTTATTTTTTCAGGAAAGCTCCCATTTGATTTTTAAACTTTACAATAAAGGAAGGGATCATGCAACAACAAAAGTGTATTTTTTACAGCGTGAAATCAGAAACAGAATTTTCAAACTTATTTGAAGGTTGACAACTTAGTGAGAGTGACTTTCTTGCTTCAGTGGATTATGTGGTGCCGCCAATGCAAGTTCGGGAATGGATCTTTTCGGCTGTGAATCCTTACAAGAAGGCTGAAGTTGTGGAACCAAGAAGCCTGGGCTGGCAAGTTCCAACTGTGCGACGCTTGTGGTTTGGGTGAGTCGAGTGACATCTATGTTTTTCTCAGCTGAGAAAAAATTATCTTCAATTATGGTCTGGCAGAAATGCTGCTGCGGACGTGGATGTGAGAATGCATGCCTTTGTCACCTGTATGCGTGCTGAAGGGCTGGAGATTTTGAAGCCGGGGACGGTGCATGGTTACCCAGTTACCCGGCATTTCTTTGTGCTGCTCTGTGTCTTGAGGTATATTCTCACTGCCACTGCCCCACCGATCATCACTGTGATTGAGCTGAAAGCTGTCCTGGTCACTGCCTTGTCGCGACTTCTTGGAGATCCCACGTATCTCAGGCTTCTTCAGGTGAAAAGAAACCCTCAAGTCGAGGTTTTCTACAGAAGAAAAATCAGTTTTTACTCGAGTACCACGCGTACTTTTCTTTGCTGAAAATCCAAAGGGAATAAAGGGATGTTCGTCATAGGTGGGTATGCACATTGAAGAGAAAAATGGGGGTGTTTGTTGTTGATGGGTATTCAGGTATTCATTTTACGAAAAAATGTAGAAATTCTGGTGTTCATTATTCATAGCTCATTGTAATGGAAAAAGTTTAAAATTAGTGGAATTCAGGTGCATTTATGTCTAAATTCAAATTTGGGTGTGTCATATTTTTAAATACAGCAGTTTTAAGAGGCACTAAAAATGGGTTTGCGCGTCTTACTCAGGGATACAATTGTATGAAGTTATCAAGGAAATTTTGGACCAATTTTAACAGAAGAACACTTCGGATTTGAAGCAATTGAAAATTAATTCAATTCGGGTGCAATTCAATTCTGAATTGAAATTCCGTTGTGTTCCACTTTTTTTAACTGGAGTTTTAGGGTTAATGTGAATGGGGTGCTCTGAGTAACTTCTTAGGTCAGTTGGAAATTTTTGAATTCTGTACAGGCGATGAGCTGTTACTGCTACACTTGAAAGTGTGGTTGAATCTTGATGGTAGATTACGAATTAGACCAGCATATATTTTGTGCGTTCTGCACGCCGTGTTTAATTTTGTTTTATGTGTATTTAATTTTAGGCGCAGGACGTGTCAGTCAGAGGAGTTCAGTTGGCAGCCGTGATCAATTATGGCCTCGAAATGGCTGCCTTTGCAAACAGTGCTTGTGGTGCTCCGATTCCATTCGTTGAAATCAACCCGTGTCTGCTTTTCGACGGAAAGCTCTTCCAGGAACGATTAATGGCTGGTGAGTGCCTGGAAAGTTTTAAATATGAAATGCAAGGAAGCAGAATGAAAAATCGTTTTAGAGGAAATTCCGTTGTATAGACACAGTCTAGGTGTACTTATTTTCACTCGTCTATTTTAAAACTCGTCCTTGCATTTGAAATTCGACAATGTTGCTAAACCCGAACATTTATGACCTGGGGAGATCATTGGTTGACAGATTTGAGGCGACATCTATGTCATGTAAATCTTGGAGTTGGGGACAGGATATCAATTAGGAGAACCACTTTTTAAAATTATGTTGCTAAACCCGAACATTTATGACCTGGGGAGATCATTGGTTGACAGATTTGAGGCGACATCTATGTCATGTAAATCTTGGAGTTGGGGACAGGATATCAATTAGGAGAACCACTTTTTAAAATACAGTATAATTTTTCATCCTGATGTGTCCATTCCGACTGCAGGAAAAGTTTATATGTTCAAGTGCTAGCGCTGATCATCAAAACTTTTCATTTGTATGGGATGCAGTGTTTTTTCCTTGTATTTCGTGAATAAAGTTTTATTTATCTATTTCTGAATAGCCCATCACTGTGAATCGTTGGCCGAATTGTGCCAAGGGGATTTGGCGGCTTGTCGATTGATCGACACCAGCTTGCGACAATTGACGAATGGGCTCTTGTGGATTGGGATGGGTGGCCATGGTGCTTTGCTTCCGCGTCCGACCCCTGGACCTTTTCCGTTCCCGGACCCAGGCTTTAGACCGAGGATAAACCCGCTTTTGCGGCCCGGAAATAATGGACCCTTGTTTCCGACTCCTAGTGAGTTTTTTTTTTTTTTTTTTCTTTCTGTTTTTTCATAGGAGACCTCAAAAGAAGGTTTTGTATTTTTGTCAGTAAAATTGTCATTCAAGTCACTTCGGGGACATTTCTCAGGAATTTCGATTTTATTTATTTTTTAGGGAGACAAATGATTCCTTCGCGTGGTGGAAACCTGGAAGTTGCTGGCATCATTGTTGGACATTGGGAACCGAATTTCAATAAGCATTCCCTTCACGGGTTTGTGTCTTCTTCCCCCAGGAGGGATGTTTTTAACCAGAAAACTGGTTCTCCTCAGGTTAGTGAGTCTTGTCAGCTGCGATTTTTTTGTATGGATATTTTCCTGGTAACTAATACCGCAGCGTATTTAAATGTATTTTGGATAAATTTATTTGGTAGCGTCAGGCGAAAAAGTCTGGAACTGAGGATGTAAAGCCAAAGCTGGAGGAATGTGAGCAGCATTGGAATGGGATCAAGTCTTCAAAGAACCAAGAGTGAGTAGCAATATTTGTTTCGAGTCCTTTGAGGAGTTCAGAACCCATTTTTAGTCATTTTTAAAAATCAAAAAAAAAATCCCCGGTTCTTCCTTTTTGAAACTTAAAGGCTGGTATGGTTCCAAGTACATCTGTCGAGGGGCAAACAACGTTTTGTCTTTGAATTTTCTGAAATGTCGTGTAGGTGTCGCCCGAATATTTTGAGAGAAGCGTAAACAATTTTACTCCACGAAATAAAACGAGGTGCAGTATTTGTAAATACAAGTGGACTCGCTCTACAACGATCTTGTCTGTAATGGTTTTTTCTGCATCTGAAGGATTAATTTTTGGATCCATAGGATTCTCTCCTCATGTCCTCAGGGTTCTTCGCAAAAATGTGTTTCTGGTTCCTCGAAATGTGTTGTCGAGAGAGAACCCACCTGTATTTTTATATGTATATTCGTATTTTTAATCATTTTTATTTTTTTCTATTAATCGTAAAATCGGATAACTGAATCCGGACAAAATTTTGAATGGATTACACACAGCTCAACTACTTCGAAACGTTATGCTTCGTGAAAGATGCTTCGAGTTGATTCTTGCGTATAATTTCGAGTTTTGATTCGATGCGTTCTGAACACGGAATTTTGAATCCTGAGAAATTCGAAAAGTGCGAAATGCATTTTCAGGTTGCCGCGTGGAATGATCAAAGCTCCGGGAGTCGTGATTGCGTCGCCGAAACCCGCGTTGAAAGAGGAAAATTTGCAAGAGGAAATTTTTTCTGGCCTCAACGGACACAGTGAAGAATAAACCCAAGTTGGTGGTGTGTTGAAAGGAACGAACAAGAAAAATAGATGGAACAGATGAAATCTCTTTTGATTTTCCCCCTCATTTGTCGCAGTATTTCGATTGAAGAAGTAATACGGTTCAATTGTTTCAATTCAAGTAGCGAGTGAAAAGGAAGAGGAAGAAAAGGATGTTCTTGTTTTTGGAATTTTTTTTTTTTTGCGACTGCGGAAATGAAGGATGTTCAGACAAGATGTCTGAGGTTGATATGTGTCTTTGTATTTTAATCATCCGCGAAAGTAAGTTCATGGTTTCGATTGAAATATTTTTGCGAAGGTCTCTTCGAAAATCCGGAAAGCAGCTGCATGCGAAAAGTTCTTCTAATAAATAAAAAAAATACAGGTACTGGAGCAATCGAAGTTGCCTTTCTGCCACGTTTCTAGAATTGCCGATGTGCCTCGGATAATGGACTTTTTGAAGAATGGATATTTTGCCCGATGGACTGCACCTGCCATAATTTTCTTCATCGGATAATGGACTTCATGATGGAAAAAGACTGTTAGATTGAATTCCATGTCGGAGACATGGCTGTCAGCATATTTCTTTCTAATATATGAAAACTGAATTCTTGGTTGCGCTAAAAATTGTGACCTTCCATCTTGTAGAAAGTACGCAAGAAATATTGCGCCAAGTCTCAGTAGTATTTAATCAAATGTCCAAGAATGGCAAAGGTACTATTGCTGAGGGTTCTGGGAAAGAAAAGCCATTCCACACTGCTTCACATTCCTTATACTTGAATGACCTTATCCCAACTTCGGAGCAAATTAAATTTATTCCGTTGTTGTGTATGCATCACTCGAAATATTTCGATGGCCATTTTAAGTACCGCACTACATTTTGTGTTGAGGTAAGTGAGTACAGTGACTGGTCTCTCATTTACCTTGACAGACAATTTTATGTTTTGCAGGTGTTTGTGGATTGCTCATTGGACAAATCCTTCTGGATCGTCTTCGGAGTTAGGACCTCAATGGATGGACCTTCTTGACTCTGTTCTCGCCAGCATATGCAGTCTGGAGACACCAAATGTCGTTTCTTCAGCTCATGAAAATCAAGAAGATACCGTACACAGGTTGACTTTTATTCAAGTTTCTCCTGAGATGACCATGCAAATAAATCTAGGGGAATTTTTTATAGTTGAAAAGTGAACCTTTTGAAGGTTGTTGAAAAAAATAATATGCACCTTTTCCGTCTTTAACGGGATGAAATTTTTCTGTAGGATTTTTCCTACTGCTTCAAAATTTTTTGGTTATTCCAAGAAAACCTGATGAAGTTCTAAGCTTTCATGGGGCAGACAACTTTGATGCAGCTGATTTGACAAACTTATTTCGATTCCTGATTCGAAGTCAACCAATGAGGTTTGTTCTCTTCATGTCATGTAGCAAAAGTCAAGTTCTCGTGTTTTAATTTTTTGAATTGATTTTTCGAAGGTAATTTACTGTTGAAAAATGAGCAAAAGCTCTTTCTGAAAGTCTACACATTGAACGCTGTAGAATCTTTGGTTTCCTTTCTGTAAATTTCAGAGGTCAGATTCAGCTGTTGATCACACACCAAAATAAAGCATAGAAGGGTTCCCCTGATGAGAAAAATGAATTTTGATTTGAAAGAGATTCATAAATTTTCCATAAATTATGTCCCTCCTACTTTTTGGCAAGAAACTCAGAATTTATTTTATTTCTACCCGTTTTCGTCAAAACTTGTTAAAATTGCGTTATTTTTACCAAGGGTTTCAAGGAGAGAAATGGAGCTTGATTTGAAAGAGATGCAAAATATTTTCCGTAAATGATGTCCATTCTCCTCTTTTCATATTTTACTCTGAGATTATTTTATTTCACCTTTTCATCAGAACTTGTTACAACTGCATTCTCACCTTGAAAAGTTTATGAATTTTATTTATTATCGATGAAGAGTGGGATGATTTAAAATTTATATTGCTGTGGATCAATTAACAATGCCATGACAAAAATGTGACAAATTTTACTGTATTTGTTGGTTTTATTTTTCAAGTAGGGCAAGATGGCGGTGGATCCTCCAGCATGTATAAACCCAGATTACCCTGCAGTCCTGGCCCATTTCATCCACCTCCTCGTCTCCTTTCGCTGCTGGAATGACCTCGTGAGATCCGTGACCTTTGAGAACCCACCTGCCAACATGGGTCATCCCTGGTTCCTCCTCGGGATGCTCGTTGACCTCGTCGGAATTGCCCAGAACATCCGAGCTGAGAACCGGGCCAGTTTGTTTTACTATGAAATGATGAATGTGGCTGCAACGGCGTATGCGGTGATTGGCATGCCATTTTTTGCCGGATTATACCACGTTTGCATCAACACAGAGAATCGGCACTTGAACAGGCTGGGTTTCGCCGTGGCCATTTTGATCACTTTCATGCCCTTGGTGTATTACCGGCGAAGGAAGCGACTGAGGATGATGTCTTGGACGAAATACGCCATTTTCGTTTCTCTGCTGACCATGTTGATCCAGGCCTTCAGGTTTTTATTTTTTATATTTTCTGCATTTGTCGTGCTTTTTCAAGCATTTTTATACCGTGAAATTTCGTTGAACAAACTTGGGGGGACTTCAGAAATTTTTTTTATGTTAAGTATTTTTTTAACAATATTTTAAAAATGTATTTAGTGGGAAGATTGTCTTCACATGTTTAAAAAAAATTGATCTTCGAAACGCAATTCAAATATCAATTACAAACATTGACTCAGACCAATCAAGAACTGGTCACAGTCACATTTTGAATGAGAATTTGAGACTGTTACTGTCCTCAATGGGGATTTTTTCATCAGGAAAATCACATGTTCTAAAAAAAAGTTTGTTATGCTGGAGTTGAAGAATTTGTTGTAACAAGATTTTTGCAACATTGTTCCTATAAGATTTCTGCAGAGACTTGGAAAAAAGTTTGTTATTCTGAAAATTTTGTTGTAACATTTTTGTGTGTGAAGTTATTTTACTTTACTTCAGTTGAACTCCAATTGACAAGGAATTGAGTGAAGGAGTTTTTGATATCTGGAGATAAACATTTTTATTTGGGGAAAAATAAGAAATACAGTGAAGTGTGATTGGTGATATTCTAGGCATTTGATTGCTTCTTTAATGAGTTGGCAGGATGCTGAACTTGGAGGCAAGGGATCATATGCCTAACTAGTCTCTTATTTCCTTTCAGAATGCAATAAGTTACATTTTCATATCTTTTCTTTTCCTGTGTCAATAAAATAAAAGCCAAAATAAGGCCTCCAGAAAATTCATGTTCTGTAGGTATGAGAGGGAAAGCATTGGAGTTTGGCAATGTATTGATCCTTTGTTTCTAAAGGAATTCAGTGAGGTATGCCAAAATTTGACTTGAGAGGTTATTAGAGAAATATTCGTCACACTTGAACCCTGGTTTGTCCTATGTAATTGAATTGATGTGGGTAGATGTCACTGGTAGTTGGCGTAGTACCATATTTTGAAATTATTGTACTTCATCACAGTATGTTCCATATCCTTCTCCTGGGGTTCTCCTGTGGAGCCAATTCTGAGATAACCTTCAAAATCAAACAAGTAATCTCTAGGATGAAGCAAGAGGACACACTCAAGTTGATGCTGTGACTACTGTATTTACTCCGTCTTGATCACTTTCATGCCCTTGGTGTATTACCGGCGAAGGAAGCGACTGAGGATGATGTCTTGGACGAAATACGCCATTTTCGTTTCTCTGCTGACCATGTTGATCCAGGCCTTCAGGTTTTTATTTTTTCCATTTTCTGCATTTGTCGTGCTTTCTCAAGCATTTTTATACCGTGAAATTTCGTTAAACAAACTTCAGAAATTTTTTTTATGTTAAGTATTTTTTGAACAATATTTTCAAAATGTATTTAGTGGGAAGATTGTCTTCACATGTTTAAAAAAAATTGATCTTCGAAACGCAATTCAAATATCAATTACAAACATTGACTCAGACCAATGAAGAACTGGTCACAGTCACATTTTGAATGGGAATTTGAGACTGTTACTGTCCTCAATGGGGATTTTTTCATCAGGAAAATCACATGTTCCAAAAAAAGTTTGTTATGCTGGAGTTGAAGAATTTGTTGTAACAAGATTTTTGAAACATTGTTCCTATAAGATTTCTGCAGAGACTTGAAAAAAAGTTTGTTATTCTGAAAATTTTGTTGTAACATTTTTTTGTGTGAAGTTATTTTACTATACTTCAGTTGAACTCCAATTGACAAGGAATTGAGTGAAGGAGTTTTTGATATCTGGAGATAAACATTTTTATTTGGGCAAAAATAAGAAATACAGTGAAGTGTGATTGGTGATATTCTAGGCATTTGATTGCTTCTGTAATGAGTTGGCAGGATGCTGAACTTGGAGGCAAGGGATCATATGCCTAACTAGTCTCTTATTTCCTTTCAGAATGCATTAAGTTACATTTTCATATCTTTTCTTTTCCTGTGTCAATAAAATAATAGCCAAAATAAGGCCTCCAGAAAATTCATGTTCTGTAGGTATGAGAGGGAAAGCATTGGAGTTTGGCAATGTATTGATGCTTTGTTTTTATTGAAATTCAGTGAGGTATGCCAAAATTTGACTTAAGAGGTTATTAGAGAAGTATTCGTCACACTTAAACTCTGGTTTGTCCTATGTAATGTAAAATTGAATTGGTGTGGGTAGATGTCACTGGTAGTTGGCGTAGTACCATATTGTGAAATTATTGTACTTCCATCACAGTATGTTCCATTAGGAAGAGGACCCCAAGAGGACACCTCGGTTAAGACTCTATTGGAAGTTTTAGTTTGTTCATTAGAGATCCTACTTCGTTCTCCTGTGTGAGTTCAACTACGACACTGATGACATAAATGAGGCAGACAAACAAATATTTTCTGATTTACTATGCTGCTGAATTTCCCTGTGTCCCCAACTCGTTGGTAACTAGATACGCAACTAACCAGGCCCAACTCTCAATTATTTGCGGTTCAGATGTATCTCGTAATTGGCTAACCCTGTATTTTGAGTTTTCCGGACAACCTATTTTTTCTGTGAATGAGCACATGTTAATCAATTGTTCTTTGTTCCTGAAGGTATGCTGATATCTTGACTGTCTTGGGATGCTATGTCATATACTATGCAGTGCACAGAGTGGGGAATGGGTCACAGAGAAGCGGAATCTTCACGAACTACCAGAAGATGCTGCTTTGGATCTCTTTGGCCAATATCATTTTTGTCCTCGCTTTCTCCCCTGACAAGAATCTGAGAGCTGTGGTTGGTGATGAAAACATTGCTGAAGTCAAGAAGGCAACAGAAGAAGCCATTTCAGCTGTCATTAGCATGCTGCCCAAGCGTCCCAGGGATGATGATGATATATTTGGAGACTATGAAGCTGGCAAGGGAAAAGGTGGCAAAGGGAAGGGGAAGAGGGGCAAAGGCAAAATGGGCAAGGGAAAATCTCCTCCAGATGGCGCTCAAGCTGGAAAGGGACCAATGCATGCTGGGAAAGGAAAGGCCCCTGGTGGCGGCAAAGGGAAGCCTGCTGCTGGAAAGGCTGCTGCTGCTGGGAAATCTGGCAAGGGTCCTGTTGCCCAACACCATGCTGCAGCTCTTTTGGCTGATTATCATGACTACAGTGAACTTTCTAGGAGCAACATTCTCCACAAGCAGAGGTCCTTGCCCCCACCTGTGTGGATACATGAGAAGAGACACAGCATCATCAAGCATTAAAGCCCATATTCATTTTCTATTGCCCCGTGTGTACCCTTTTATTTTATTTGGTCAACATATTTGAATGTTGAGCAATTATTCTTAATTTCCGTAATAAATAAATTCACTGAGAAACCATCTCTCAAATAGTATCAATTTTTTCTTGAGCAATTTCATCCCTGATTGTGGATTCAGTTAATGCAGTATTGTATACCCCCCTGTTGATGCTTGTGGCCCTTTAAACAGTGAAATACAGTATTCTCTTTTTACTGTTCTGTATGTGTTACATGTATGGCCAACTCAGTGCTTGATCCGTGTGCCTATAAAATTTGAAAAATTTTCGAAATGTGTTTCTGGAATTGAACAATGGGACATGTAAATATTCTTGTTTAGCGAAATGTTGTGAAGGCATGTGTAAAATAGTGGGATTTCAAATTTTAGCTGCTTATGATATGGAATAGTTATGGAATGCTGATGTAAGCTGAGTACTGGTGGATTACCGTTGAAGTGCAACAGTGGCTCAGTGGTCTAGGGGTATGATTCCTGCTTTGGGTGCAGGAGGTCCCGGGTTCAAATCCCGGCTGAGCCCGTTATTTTTTCCATCTTGCCGTCAATCGATGTGAGTACTGTATGACAATTAATTAGAGTTCCTTCTCCCTCTGTGTGGATTTTGATCGAATTATCGTATAAGTAACGGGTTAAACCCGAAAAACTCGACAGAAGCAACGTATTAACAGAGGACTGCGTACAGTATTTATTGTACTGAAAAAATTCTTCAATTTCCTCCAATATTCATGAGCATTTGAGGATTGTAAATTTGTAATCACGCGGTCACGCCAACTTGAATTTTCAGAATAACCCAGTATATCACCCTGATTATGACATTGTCAATAATTTTCGTGCGCATAAACAGCATATTATTATGTGTCATTTCCATTATGATTTATTGAAAACACATGGTCTTTATGAAAACAAATCAAGTCTCCAGCAGAGAAAGAATTGAGGAAATATTTATAGTCTGCTGGCAAAAAGAGTAAAATTTCAAGATTTTTCTCATACAGTGTTCCTGTACAGCAATTTTTTTTTATCTTCAGTTGAAAGTTAAACAGTTGGTTGGCACTCAATTGGGCGTCAATATATGTAGGCTGTGCTGTGTATATGTGTCATGGTTCTCCTCAATTAGCATCAAAGGATGGAATATGTACTTTCCTCCTTTTTGCACACCCCAACAGGTTTGAGGCATGAGGAGCAGTAAAGGGTGGTGATGCTGGTGCTCCACCCACATGCCATGGAATCGGATCTGGGTTCATGAGCAAGGGATCTGGTACAGATCATCAAGCTTTATTTATTTTCTCTCACTGTCATGTGACAGACATTCTATGGAGAGGGGATTGCGCATTCTTTGGTTTATTTTTTATCCCTCTCATCATCTGTGCATGTCTGGATCATGTGGGAAAGAAGTGTTGAGGTGACCCTAGACTCTCACCAAACTCCCTAATAAATGTCCCACCAGGTCTTTTAAACCTTGGTTTCAGACTTATTGTTGATACGTTATCCATGTCTCAAAGTCTTGGGTGTTTAAATTAAATTAACGGTTTGTATTATTATGCATTGTGCTTCTCATTAAGAAAATTCAGTGCAAATTTTGAAGCGTTGCACAAAACAGGATGAATATTTTTTCAAACTTCAGAATAAAGAAAAATGCTTGCGTATTTAGTGCTGCACTATATAGAAATTTCCAACATGTCAAAAAGTTTTCCAAAGAAATTCCTTCATGCCAAATTTTGAAGGATCAAAATTGTAAATGCATTTCCAAGAACATACGTAACAAAAAATTAGGCAGAATATTTTGGATAAGAATGAATAACTTGTCTTCAAGAAACAAATCTTCCATCGTTGTACATGTGAATGATTCCTATAGTATACTGTACATGACGTTGGTCCCATTGAAATTAGGTCAAACATTTTTCTGAGGCACCCTGTAGTGGCAGGATTGCTGAGACATTTCCCAGATAGAAGAGATGAAACCTTTTCTTTTTTGAAGCTAGGGTGCTTGGGGATGTGCTGGGAACTACAAAAATTAATCATCACATGCAGGAAAATATCCTGCGGGTTCATTGAGTGTGGGTCTCATCACTCAAACCCGCATCACCCCTGTGAGTCAGAAAATGAATGAAAAAACTCTTTAAAAGCTTGTCAAACGATGTGTGTAAAATGTCTAAGCTAAATTTTAAAATGTATTATCTGATAATAAAATATGAACTGAGGAAAGCTGAAGCTCTCTGTTCAGCTGATCCACGATTTGTATCCTCCCTCCTAGAATTAATTGAGGGTAGTACTACCTGAACCTGTAAAGTTCATCCAGGGGTACCACAGACAAATTTCAGTGCATCTTTCATGCATGATACTGTTGTCTGCTTGTAATGTATACAAACAGCTCATGATGCAAAGACCCGTTTTTTTCTATTCATTTACATCACTCTCTCATCAGTATTCCTTGCATTTTCTTGAAAATTGTCCACGGAAGATTGCACTTATCAATTTTTTCTGTCGACTTATCGTACGCTCTGTGAAACGGACACGCTTCCGGGTGAAACGGACACGCCTTTCCGTCACTTACTCCGTTTCATTGATGGACAATACAGTATACATTGACAAAACCTGAAACCCTGTGACAAGATGTCCGCTTCCCATATACCGGCGATAATGTGCTTGCGCATGCGGATGACAGTACGTGAACCTTGCTGTTTCGGACCATGACGCGTCATCGTATCAGGTGTGTCTGGGGTGAATTATGCGAATATGTGCGCTGAAATGATTGTGAAAGTGAGCGAATATGCTGTAAAACGGAGGTCGATACAGTTATAGTGCTAACGATTAGCAAATATAATCGTTAACACTTTACAGTGCATGTGTTCCGTATGCGGTGATTCGCACGCCGTCGTCACTCCTGAATCAACGAAAGACTGCATGTGAGTCCGTGAATCAAGGTGAGTCGCAGGTTTTAAATTTCATAACGTGTTTCGACGAAACCGTTTGCTGTAGGACTGGGATAGCTCCCAACATTTTCCTTCGATTATATACTGAGAATGAAACTCCGAAGGTCGCCGTGTCACGCAGAAGTTTTACTCGAACCATTTCGTATACGCATTGACAAGTTGCACGGAAACGTGATCACGATCGAAAGAGAAAAACAAGCATGCAAAACACTCCCAGGATTCCCTCATCACGTTTCAAAACATCACAATAACCAAAAGAAAAGTGAATTCCCTCCGTCGTTCATGTCGTCCGCCATCCTGTAAAACTAAATACAGGCAGAGAAGCCAGCAAAATTAGTTGGAGAACGGCAACATATAACAAGAAAGAAAATAGTTTCAGTGTGATTGACACTCTGACGACATTAATTGTTCCAGGACTGAGGAATTTGCGCCTTGGCCGTTGCTTTTTGGTTCAAAATATATGTCCCGTCGGAACACCAACTTCATGACTTAAACTTACGCAGTATAAGACGATCTATAACTAACCTTAGCTTAAGCGCTTGACTATTTCTAAAATCTGATCGAAAAAGATATCGTGTAGCTAGCTAACTTTAAAACAGAGAACTGCAGGATCAAGCCAACTTAACAAAAATCTTCAAATTAACTTGGCGCCGAACCGAAAACTTATGCATCTTGAATCTCAAGTATTAAGGAATTGCCACTAATCTACGAAAATTCGAGAAATATATCATACAAGAATCTAACAATTCATGGACTGCAGAAATATAGATCAATGAAGCGACAGTTCAGTTTCGGATTCCAAATTTTGAGCAAATTTTTCGATTATAGTGAATTTTCCGATTCTCGTGTGTTGAACAGCGTGAACTGCGTCAAAGTCATGATCAGNAAGGGTGGTGATGCTGGTGCTCCACCCACATGCCATGGAATCGGATCTGGGTTCATGAGCAAGGGATCTGGTACAGATCATCAAGCTTTATTTATTTTCTCTCACTGTCATGTGACAGACATTCTATGGAGAGGGGATTGCGCATTCTTTGGTTTATTTTTTATCCCTCTCATCATCTGTGCATGTCTGGATCATGTGGGAAAGAAGTGTTGAGCACTGGGATCTGAGAGTGGTTTGAGGGATTATTTACAGGGTGGTCCAGAAAATTTGGAACCAAAGTCTGAATAACAACTATGCAATAGGTACAGAGTTTCAGAACCCACAAATTTAATTTAATTGCCGTTCTATTATTATGCATTGTGTTTCTCATTCAGAAAATTCAGTGCAAATTTTGAAGTGTTGCACAGATCAGGATGAATATTTTTCAGACTTCAGAATAAAGAAAGATACTTGTGTATTTAGTGCTGCACTATATAGAAATTTCCAACATGTCAAAAAGTTTTCCAAAGTAATTCCTTCATGCCAAATTTTGAAGGGTATATATGCCATCAAAATTGTAAATGCATTTCCAAGAACATACGTAACAAAAAATTAGGCAGAATATTTTGGATAAGAATGAATAAATTGTCTTCAAGAAACGAATCTTCCATCGTTGTACGTGTGAATGATTCCTATAGTATACTGTACATGACGTTGGTCCCATTGAAATTAGGTCAAACATTTTTCTGAGGCACCCTGTAGTGGCAGGATTGCTGAGACATTTCCCAGATAGAAGAGATGAAACCTTTTCTTTTTTAAGCTAGGGTGCTTGGGGATGTGCTGGGAACTACAAAAATTAATCATCACATCACATGCAGGAAAATATCCTGCGGGTTCATTGAGTGTGGGTCTCATCACTCAAACCCGCATCACCCCTGTGAGTCAGAAAATGAATGAAAAAACTCTTTAAAAGCTTGTCAAACGATGTGTGTAAAATGTCAAAGCTAAATTTTAAAATGTATTATCTGATATTAAAAAATGAACTGAGGAAAGCTGAAGCTCTCTGTTCAGCTGCTCCACGATTTGTATCCTCCCTCCTAGAATTAATTCAGGGGTAGTACTACCTGAACCTGTAAAGTTCATCCAGGGTACCACAGACAAATTTCAGTGCATCTTTCATGCATGATACTGTTGTCTGCTTGTAATGTACACAAACAGCTCATGATGTGAAGACCCGTTTTTTCTATTCATTTACATCACTCTCTCTAGTCTCT